ACTAATTTATGTGGAAACAGGCACGGGAAGGACCGGTTCAGTTCGAGAAGGACGCCGGCAATAATGATCCCTTCCAGATGGACAAGTTTATGGCTGAGGTGGATCAGAGCTCTTCGTCGAAGAGAGGTTATGGATTACAGGAAGGAGAGACAAGACAACCGAAACGTGCTCGGGTAGAGGAGGACGACGATTAAAGGACTCTACCTCCCGGATCCTTTTCGTTGCGCTTACTTAGGTACTAGTTGTGTATATATAAATACCGGAAGGGTTTTATATCAACCCAAAATTTTGTGCTACAATATCACCTTTGCTTCGATAACATGGGGAGCTAATCGAGTCTTCGAGGTACTTTGATCCGTAGCATATGTATAGCTATGCGCCTATTCACTGAAGTTATTTTTCGGTTGATACTCTGCATCGTTTGACCAATTCATCCTCAATTTGTTGGATTCCATAATGTAGAACTTGCAGGCTGTATTTTATCGTACTTGTAAGAAATCATAGATCGGACCATCGAGGCGTGAAATTGAAGCGGCGATAAGCATCTCGTACGGACGACGTTCCAGAACACGGGCCATTTCTTAGCGTTTCTTTCTATTGGCTCTTAGTTGACGGTACTGATACGGTATCGATAAATGAGTCGCACGTCATCGGGAGGCTGTGCTGAATCGTAGAGTGGATCAGATCTTTGCGAAACACTTTTCAACGTCCGGACCCACAAAGTACTACATGTATCCCTTCATGAAAAGAAACATTGAACAACGTGTACTTATGTATGTAGGTACCCAGCGCGCATTGAAGAAAAGCTTCAGTATTGTCTACCTAGGTACATATGTATCGCTTTTGAAGCGTCGATGTTCTAGAATATAAATAGGTTAAATATTTTAGGTTGATCTTAAAGGCCAAACCCCTTAATTAGGGCTCCAGGGCTTTGGATATGACGATAATATGATCAATGATTGATGATTAAAAAAAGGTACCGAATGCCCATCCTTGTTGTACTAGCTAGGTATGTATTATCGCACCACCCAACTGCGTACGTAGTAGGGCGGCAGGCTAGAAGACAGGCCAGCATCATCGGCATGATTAGTTGCTTTAATGGACCGAGCGTGGAACTTCCAACGCGTCAGCCTTCTCCAGTTCTTCTTGTTCGGGTTTTCTGCGTTGCAAGATTTGAGAGATGGTGGTGTTAAGGTTCTGAGTTGCTACGGTAGCTGTATCGTAGTGTACCCTACCTTTGGTAAATCGTTGTATGTACAATAATACAGGTAGGTACACTAGGTAGGTATAATACATATAAGGGAACCCCGATCTGTGCTTTGAAGCTTCCCTTCTTATTGGAATAAGAGGGACTTGGCTCGAATCGTCGCTGCTCTTTCTGTTTGATGGTTGCATGACAACAAGGTGTTTACTCCCACCTAACCTTAATAACATCCAATCGAAAGTCCCAAGGTGAATTCAAATCACCTGTAAGTACAGGTGTACCCAGCCAACTTTGGGAATCTTGGAACTTTACATACACACGCCACCTCAATCATTCCAGTTCTCTCTTTAAACTTGTCTCATGCCAACCAATTCCTAAATAAGGACAACTCCATCCTCCAACACACAGAACACCACGGCTAGAAGCCTTACGATCTTTAAGCAGGTTCTTGAATAGTCGAAAAGAGCACATTCGTTCTTAAGAAGAAACAACCTTTTATACGGAACCGCTTCCCTAAATTGGATATCAATTCATTGGCGAATCTGCGGCGCAGCTAGGCAGCTAGGCAGCTAGATATCACTCGCATTCGTTCGTTGTCAACGGTCGCCAAGAGATTTTAGTCGGAGCTTCTTTACGAGCTTATCTCGCAGGTCTTTGCAGGTCAGGTCTCTGCAGCTCTTATACAAATATGGGTTGGGAGAATTCCAACATCCAGCCAAAGGCTGGTCCCGCTTCCTTTCAGGTTAGAGATACTGATGGTCCTGTCGAAATGGTATCTGGTCCACCACCATACTACACGGGAGAACGTCCGCTACCGTCGCGAGGGAACATGGCCTCCCAACAAGCCGAACCCTGGTGGAATCCGAGATTTTGGAGAAAGAGAACTTGGGCAATTGTTGCAGCAGTTGTGGCTATAATTATTGTTATCGTCATCGTCGTCCCAGTCGAGGTCACCAAGGCGAACCGATATCCGGATTATTCCAGGCTCAATTACACCTTATCGGATGAATGTAAGTTGCTGCTGATTTCTTCTATATGTGATGAAGTGACAATTGAATTAACCTTTTTTTTCTTTTTCTTCTAGATACCGGAACAACTTTCTTCGACAAATTCGATTATTTCGAAGGATACGACCCGGCTGAAGGATTCGTTCACTATGTTCCGGAGGAGACGGCTACATCACTGGTACGTGCTCAATTATAATATTCTTCAACATCACACTAACCATTCACTTAGAACCTCACATACGCAACTTCAGACTCGGCAATTCTAAGGGTCGATACCAGTGTCGGCAATACCTCATCTCCAGATGCGTCCACTGGCCGTTTCTCCGTGCGGGTTCAGTCCAAGACGCAGTACGACAGTGGCCTTTTTATCTTCGACGTGAAGCATACTCCCTATGGGTGTGGAACTTGGCCAGCCTTATGGCTCGTCGATCCTAACAATTGGCCGGACAATGGAGAGATTGACGTGATGGAGGCTGTGAACAAGGCCACAGATGGTAATCAAATGACGTTACACACGACGGACTCATGCGAAATGAAAGTAAAGCGCAAGATGACCGGCTCCAGTATTTCAACCGATTGTTATAATGCCACCGATGACAACGCCGGCTGCGGTGTTAGAACCGCCGTAGATACCTACGGAAGTACCTATAATGATGCTAGTGGTGGTATTATGGCTATGGAGTGGCGTGACGAGGGTATCCGGGTGTGGCAGTTCGGAAGGAGCGAGATTCCGACTGACATCACCGCCCAGAGCCCGGACCCGAGCACCTGGGGCGAGGCCGCCGCCGACTTCCCGAACACGGATTGCGATATCGGCTCGCACTTCCAAAACCAGAGCATCATTGTAAATATCGATCTCTGTGGACAGTACGCCGGCAATGTGTACTCGACAAGTGGCTGTAAGTTGCCTTTACTCCCCCTTTTCTTTAATAGCTAGATTGCTAAGTGTTTGCAGGTCCTAGTAATTGCACCGACTACGTCGCTAATTACCCGTCGGCCTTCACCGAAGCGTATTGGGAATTCGGAGCGTTTGAGGTTTACAAGGGTTCCTAAGAGTTGTAAGCGTACATACACAACTTAATTAATGATTAGTATCATTCGGAGTTGGTGGTTATTTTCGGGTTGGTCCGGCTATGGTACTGTTACTGGCGAGCGAAACGAGTGCTGCGGAACTTGCAAACCATGGATAGAGGTTCTATACGAATGGTCTTGATTTTTGAGATGTGGTCAAGCAGGCATGTGAAGGGTATGTTTCACGATAGATGGCCGGTAGGGGTTTCGATTTTATGAGATGGCACTACGGGATATGGATCAGACTACCACTACAGCTATTGAGCTTGCAAGAAAGCAAGCTAAGAGAAAAGTTTATACCAAATCCCTAATGTCCTCCGTTCTCTACTCTCATTTGTTCCTCCGATCCCCCTCACTGCTCAATCTCATTCTGGTACTCATACGACCAATCGATAATCTCAATGAGTTTGGAGTCAGCGGCATACGCGAGGGTCCTGTACTCCGAAAATAGAGCCTGGCCCCGGGCCAACAGCTCATCGTTGGGCTTCGGCTTCAGGTCCAGGAAGTTGTTCTCCACGGTGACGACGTCTAGCCGGATGTTGTAGATGGCGTGGCTGACGTTGGACTGGAAGTCCACGAGAAGCTCGTCGTAGGCTACTGCAGTCATAATGCTGGCTAGGGCCAGGGTAATGGTTGATGGCTTCATGGTGGTTAATGCTTGGAAGCTTAGAGACTTGACCAGCGTTAGAATATGGTTTGTTGTATTAGTAGAAGTAGGGGTTACTTACTAATACGACTTTTCATAAGCGAAGTTGTCCATGGTAGAACTGTTAAAGAGCATTCATTATGTTATAGCCGTCCTCGAGCCTCTTTATATACACGACACTAGCTATTGATATTGAAAGTAACTGCCAGTCTAGAATCTGTATATGGTGTACACGTATTTTCTAGGCGTATGTACGTCTGAACAGGCTGAATCTCCATGCACCTTCGTGTATGTACATGTAGGATGGTGCGGAGGCGAGATCTAGATAAGTCGACTGAATCTTGTAAACTACATTGAGCACGAGGTTCACATTCACCCTATTGGCCCTGGAACGAGTTAGTGATTCTGCCATGCGATAAAAATCCAAGTTTATTAACGAAATCATATTCGCTAGAGAACACGATCATCTGTACGAGAATGAGAAAAGTATGTATGTAGTATCGTTATGCCATATAGGTAGGTAGTTACTTCGTATGATAATCCGAATAGTGTTAACAAGGGATAGGGCCTTCATGGCAAGTTAAGTAGATAAAGTCATATCCCTTTAGATTAATTACCTTGTCGGCTGTCTTCAAAAGCTAAGCACTGTAAGTGGCATTGTAGCATTACTTATTATGTTCCATTAGACCTAAGACTATAAATTTCATATAACTCAGTCATAGTATTTTATAGACTTAACTTCCCTATTAACCACATCTAATAACAACCAATGACCAAGTCCTATTAATTATTACTAATTTAACAAAGCTGCATGTTTACTGTATCTTACGGCATCTATATAGTTAAAATTACCTATACTGAATTATATGTTCTTAACTATTTTATATAAGTGATTATAAGACTCCGAAATAATAAATATCTTCAACTTTAGCTTTCGTATTATTACATAACCCTAATGCCTCTATTTTGTGGTCTATTATTAGTGGGTAGAAGGGTAAAATGATATCAAGAAACTAAATTTTGCCAGAAATACTTTTTCTTATTTAAAAAAAAAAAAGAAAAAAAAAGGAAACTCCGAATCGGGGAATCGAACCCCGGGCTTGACGGTCCTAGTGATTTAATAATCATACAATGAGAGCGTCAAATGTTAGCCACTACACCAATTCGGACTGGTCGAACAGACAGAAACCCACGGTCATGTTATGATTGTTGTCTTGGTAGACACTATAATAGATAATCCACCCGGACAGCAAACTTATTTTGTCTCCACTTGTCATTAGTCACAATACAGGATCGTAGGGGCAATTACCTAGACATTTGCATTACTCTATCGTGGAGGATTTTTGGCTCATCATTCAGCTAGTAACATTCATTAACTATCCCATGATGTCTCATCTTCTATAAACTTCAAGATCCTAAGTGGAGAATATGCCCCCCTTTTACAGATCCTCTCAAACCGTAACGCCGTCGTGCTATGCAATCCGTGACCCAACGCCATTTTGGGACCTTTAGTTACCAAGAGGACCAAGCTCATAATCGTACACCCGTGCTCCTGTACCATATACTAATCTTCCCGTACCTATCCCTACTCATCATCCTTCGGTTGCCGTAACCAGGTATCGATCGCGGCACTAAACGCCGCAAATGCAGCACATCCACCGGCCACAGCTGTCGGTCCGCCGCCCCGAGCTAGGATACCGCCCGTCAGGCACCCGGCAGCGGTGCCGTTGAACAGGTCGTTCTTGGCACGGTAACCCTCGATTCCGCACTCGATACCGGCGAACATCAGGCCGACGAGTCCGAAGTTCTTGGCCGTGCTGTACGACCGCGATCCCATATCCTTGAAGCCGATCTTCAGCTGCTGGCGCATCGGGAGTGAGGATATCGGGGTTGGTGTGGAGCCCGGGGCACCGGGAGTGTGGAAGGGCGTGTCGTAGGACATCTGTAGTAGCTAGTCAGACATATGCTGCGGGGTTGATTTTGCGAAAGGGGGAGGGTGAAGGGCGAAAGGTGAAAGTTGAGGGTGCACATACAGATGCCATGAACATTCCGAAGAGACCTCCCATGCCAAATCCCATTACACCCGAGATTGCAGCTTTGCCGAAACACGACTCCATCATTGCGTTTAACTAGTTCATTCAAGTCAGTATATCTCAGACCGGACAAAGTGGCTCGAGGAGGGGAAGCAAACCCTTTTGAGGTTGGGATCGTTCGGGTCATATTGGCCTGACCCTGCGGGGGCTCCAGCTCCAGCTCCAGGTATTCCGTTCATCTTGCGATATATGTGGTTTGAATGAACAAACGAGAAATAGACCGTATCGAGATGCGACTCTATGCGATGTAGTACTGCGAATTACGAATTGCACATGCGATAACGATTGAAGATAATTCTTTTTTTGCCATATGCGACCGCCCGCTAGAGTGGATCAAGCACGGGTGGGTATCTAGGTTTGCCCCACCTGAATCGTTTGCTGGGACCTGCATTGGCCCACCCTACCCGCATTCTATCATAAGCCGGCTCAATGTCGTGCTAATATAACATTGAAGAATTACCTACCTACAACTACCTAGAGAAATAGACTTGATATTGACATCTTAAATTTGAACTTCTAAGATGTATGTCATTCTCTGTGTTTTGTATAATGTTTCGAATTTGAGGATACGAAACACCTAAATTCTTCGAACTCAGTGTTGGGTGGTCGACATAATTGGCCTGAGTGCGTTTTCATCCCTAAAATGACTGATCAACTTAGTGATACCCTCGCTTCCCGAGCTGCACGTAGTCACCCGTCCGCCACAATGGGGATTACCTCTAGGTATTGAAGTCCGTAAGCATTCCAGCCATCGTCAATATCATTTGTCGTTATGGTACCTCGTGGAAAACGCTCATTTATTCTGTGACTAGTAAATGTAACTATGACATTCACGTCATTTGCAAACGGGATATATTAATATTAACAGCTCGAATCGGATAGTACTGGCTACCTACCTAGGTAGTCAATGGATTTTCAAAAACTACCAATTTTGGTAGAAGCGTTGATTGAAGCTCAAACGGCAGCTCTGTCCTCGAGTGGATATAAAGTCTCTTATTATCCTCGGGTGTTGACTTTCTTTCTCTTCGACTAGAGTGAACAACTCATCGCCTTCCAAGTTCTCTTATCAAGTCATACAAACAACATCACTGTAACTTTAGAAACTTACTTACAAATCTTGCACATATATCTACACCTTTCTTCAGAAACTTTCCTAATATATTCCTTTGCCTGTCACAGACCACCTACTTCGACATGGGCAACGTTCTTACCATAGCCGTCAGGATGGGCATCATGGCTGCACTCAACACATCAGTCGGCGCAGCCATAGCAGGGCCGATTCTTGCTGCCTTTGGACTTGGTGGTTTGGGTATCGCTGATGGTATGTAGTCTGTCCTAGTTTTTTTTCAGGGAATTTTCTTGATTGCTCATTCACACGGTTTCTATATAGGCTCTCTTGCTGCACTTTTGCATAGCACACAAGGAAATGCTGCCGCCGATAATGTGTTTGCTGCTCTGCAAGCCGCCGGCATGGGTGGATAGGACGTGGATGGAGGGTGGTAGACTTCGTTTTATTGAATCGGTAAACACTAATCTCGCATCCGTGAAGGAGGCTGTTTACACTCGAGAGAAGGATGCATATTTTGAACCGAGAGTAGTATGTACGCTTAGAAGGGGAATTTAGTGTGTTTAGTGTTTGCTTCTTTTCAATAAGATGGGGAACTTGACGTAATAAGTATCTAGGTACATATGTGTGAGACATGCATTCACCCCCACTAGCAATGAATACCTAGATCAACCATGAAACCTTCAGCGACAATAGATCATCAACTATTCATGGCCTAAAGCGTTTATACTAGAGGAAGCTTAATAACAAATTTGAAGTTATTTTCTAGTCATTCATAGTCAGATCGTATGTATTATATTATGATTAAAGTGACAACTTCTCTCAAATTCAATAAAATGAGACTTTTCTAATGGAGGGGTAGATTCAGACCCTTGCCAAGGCTTTGCGGGGAGGACCCAAGCAGTCACGGCGTTGATAATCTACCAGGGTGCTTTTCCTTGTGCTAGCCCAGGCAACCAATGACGGAAATTGATTGATCAACGAGAATTTTTTTTTCCCCCTAATCACAACTATTTTTCTGAAAAAATTTGTCGTGCAGCGAGATTCAAGCTGCTCTGAACATCTCGTCAACAAAAAATTCACCTTGGTATACCGGCCTTTATCCCACGAACATTACCAACTTTAAATACTGCAGCCATGGCGGACGAGGTTGACGTAGCTATTGCTACCTATGAGGAGCTGATGGACCTTGAGAAGGATTTCGATGACGTCGAGACTGAAATCAGTGAGTACTCTTTCGACCTCGATTCTCGATGATTTTAAAGCGCATCTCGAGGTGCCATTTCATAACATATAATGGGACCTAGACTCATAAGTAGAAAAAAAGCAAGTAGATACTAACACTTCTCTTAGTTCGCCAGCAAGTTGCTATGACCAAATCTCTGTATGAGAAGAGAGCAACACTAGTCGCCAAGATTCCCAACTTCTGGGCCTTGGTCTTTGAGCAGGCACCTCCGGATATAGACCAATACATCCAGCCCAGTGACTCCGCCGTGCTCCTATCCTCTTTGACTTCCGTCTCAGTCTCTCACTTCGAGATCGAAAATGGTGGCAAGGGAGACCCCCGCAGCATTGCGATCAAGTTAGAGTTTTCCGAGAACGAGTGGTTTGAAGACAAGGTTCTCGAGAAGAAGTTCTGGTACCGCGTCTCCAAGGACGGCGATGAGGGCCTGGTCAGTGAGCCGGTCCCCATCAAGTGGAAGTCTGCGGAGAAGGACCTTACCCAGGGAATGCTCGACTTGGTCTTGAAGATCTGGGAAAGTGACAAGAAGAAGGGCCCGTCGGATAGCTCCAAGATCAAGAAGGAGAATGAGTACACGGCCGATGAGAAGTCTTTGAAAGAAAAGATCGAGGCCACTGGCCTGGGAGCAGTCTCTTTCTTCGGCTTGTTTGGATACAGAGGCTTGGATGTCTCTGCCGAGGAGAGCCGCATTTTCCTCGAGGAGGACAACAAGAAGCGAGCTGAGAGAGCTGCGGGAAATATTCCCGACCTCGAGGAGATAGACGATGACGAGGATGAAGATGAGGATGATCCCTTGGCCCTTGAGATATTCCCGGATGGAGAAGAAGTCGCTCTCACTATCAGCGATGACCTCTGGCCTAATGCTATCAAGTACTTCAGTAAGTTAAATTCCATACGCGAGAGACCGATCGTCACTAATATGCTTGCAGGCCAAGCTCAAGAGGTTGATGTCAGCGATGTAGACTTCGAGGATGAAGACGAGGATGAGGAGATGGGTGACGATGATGAGAAACCCAAAGCCAATGGTGCCCAACCCCCATCTAAGAAACGGAAGGCCTAAATTTGCTAAAGACAGAATGAAGGTTCCTAATTTCACTATATTGCAGCTCGCACACGATAACCGCTAGCATTTGAGGTTTCGTGGTGGAAGATCATCGACGATGCTTGGAAAGATGGGGTTGTATACGTTTGATTTCCGATACCAATGACAACACGTTTCTATAGAGTATTGAAAAATAGATTTCGGGTTATAATTCACCACGAGGAAGACCTTATTTGTAAATGTGTCTGGGTGAACTCAACTAGTGATTCTTGTTTGAGCCCCTGAATATACCACGCACACGGTATCGTTGGGTATTGTCTCTTCTCTTACCCTTTAACCGCTGCGTGTGGCTTCAAGGGCGGCCGTTAAACATGTATTGATGTATGCTTGGAGAACTGTGTGAGATTTATCCTTTGTAATTTGAACTTAAACCAAAAAGTAGGAAGTTGCATACGGTTGGTTGTGACGCCGAAGGTAGCGGTATTGAAGACCCTTGTTAATCCAGCTGTTCTGTGCAGGTGGAACCCAGCGGCTGCCCCAGTTAAGGCACACACAAGGGGAACATCTCCACAATTTCTTCTGTCTTCTCCAACTTATCCTCTTTCAACATTTTCTCTACCTACTTGGCTCACTTATATCTATCTTCAGATATTGAATGTTAAGAGACTTTAAAGTTGAATTAACTCTATGTATTGAGTTTAATAAACCGATGATCTTCAAAATAG